CGAGGCGGCGCGAGCCAGGAGCCGCGGGGCGAAGGCCGGGCCCCCACCTCCCACTCCCCGGGCTCCGGCTTCCTCGGGGTTCATTCATTCCTTTAGCGAGTATTTGTTGAGCGCCTCCTACGCTCAGGTGCCGAGCTGGGCGCTGGAGATGCAAACTGAGCAAGACAGAGGGCTGTGCAGAAGGAGGAAGCAGTCGCCGGCAAGTTAATGTACACTGTAATTAAAGATAGGACAGCAGTTGGGAGAGTGAACGCTCTACTGGAGCGATTTAGGAGGGTTTCAGAGGAGAGACATGTTGAATTTAGACAAGAAGCATAACGACAATCAGAAAAACCCAGGCAACGGTAGCCCTGGGAGTTCTCGCAGACCATATTATATATACCTGGCGCTGGTTCCGCGTGCTCTCCTAAGAAAAAGCCCTTTTCTCACTCCCTGCTTCTGTTTTCCTGCACCACACCGGAGTATAGCGGCGAGCATAGACGCAACCGTGGCTATTGTCCTTGTCTTTTTAAATCCCTACCCACAATTTAGATTAAAAACTCAAATCCTGTTTGACATCCTCCTTCTCTCAAGTCACTTTTCTCTGTAAATGCTACCCGATCCCTGTCTACGTGACAAACATCGTGATGATTTCAAGGCTATTGGATTTGTATCTGTCATTTCCGTAAAACTCAGCAAGCGCTGTGAAGGGTTTGTTATTTGCCCACTGTGCTGTTCTCTAGGTGTCAATCCCCGCCACATAGTAGATACTGAAAAGTTTCTGCATGTCTGAAATGATCCACACAGTACTGTTGCTCTCCAGTGGTCCGTAGAAGGCCTCTCCTGAACCAGGTCATGATCATTTCATTTATTTATTTAGCTAGAGACGTGGTTTTCCCAAGTCACTAAGTTGCCGGGGCAGGACCCAAACTAGCTCCTGCCTCAGCTTCTCAGAGTGCTGGCGTTACAGGCATACACCACCTTGCCCTGCTCCTCATCACGTTTTTCCTTTTTTAGGTATCGGGGATCGAACTTGAAACCTTGCCCTTGCAAGGCATGCGGTGCTACCACTAAGCTAAATCTCCAGGCTTCATCATCTCTTTTGATCACGTCTCCCTTTCTTAAGGAACCCGTCACCATCTTCGAATGAGAGTCCAAAATTTTTAGCATAGCACTCAGGCCTGTTTTTAAACTATCCTCCCTGTCTAATCGCTTTCCTCCTCACTTCCGTTGTTTTCTTTTTTGTTTTGTTTTGTTTTTTGAGACAGGGTCTCACTATGTAGTTGAGACTGACCTGGAACTCACTATGTAGCCCAGGCTGGTCTCGAACTCACAGCGATCCTCCTGCCTCAGCCTCTAGAGTGCTGGGATGACAGGCGTGCGCCACCACGCCCGGCTTCGATGTTTTCTTTACTCTGTGTTTTCAGCAACATTAAATGTGTCCCGCCACACTTGTTATGGCTCTGAGCCTTTCTTCATGTTTGATCTTTGCTTGGGATGCTTATTTTTCCTCCTGTTCTTCAGCATCCAAGTTATGTCGCTTGTGTCACCTTTGTGCCTCCCTCCCTTTCTCTTCTGTGCTCTAGTTTTGGCGGTTTCCTGTCCTAGCTCTAACACTGGATGATAGTCATTTGCATGCCCTAGAAGGCTGAATAAGTGAGGAGGCTCAAAGTGCTCTGCCTGTCTTTGGAACTTGAATGATAACAACTAAACTTTATGGAGTGGTTCGTATGTGCCAGATATTGTGTGGAACATTTAGCATTATTTCTCAGAGCAGCCCTTAGAGATTATATATTACTGTGATTCCATATTATAGATTAAAAAAAAATCAAAGGTGCTGGGCATGGTGGCTCGTGCCCGTAATCCCAGCAATTGGGAGGCTGAGATGGGAGGGTTGCTGCTAGTTTGAGGCTAGCCTGGCCTCCATAGTGAGTTCAAAGCCAGCCTGAACTACATAGCAAGACCCTGTCTCAAAAGAAAATCAAGAGTAAAGAGGCTAGGAAACTATCTCAAGGTCTTAACATGTGAAGGAAAGCATGGAGCCAAGATTTAAAGCCAGGCTGTAGGATCACAGAGCTCTCTTTAACCACTGCCTCAACCTTGCCCTTCACTGCTTTGTAGGCACTGGCTTGTAGGAGTGAATTTCTTCCTCCTCTTCTTTTTCCTCCTGTTCTTTTCCTTCCCCTTCCCTTCTTCTGACAAGTCTTGCTATGTAGTTCAGGCTGAATTTGAAAACTTACTATGTGGCCCAGGCTGGCCTCAAGCTCATGACTGTCTTCCTGCTTCAGTCTCCAAGTGCTGGAATTACAGGCAGGAGTGAATTTCTTCTGAAAACAGATTCTGTCTCTACCTGTCTAGATCTAGACTCGGGCCTTGAATGTAAAGGATGAACTGCTACTTTCTCCTTGTGACTCTCTTCCTACCTTCCGCCCCCAACCCCGATACTCCCATTACGCTCTCTGATATATGAACCTGGAAAGGATTAGATCTGTGAGTCGGTTAGGCTCCTGTACTGGTGTGTAGCCCACTGGTGTTTCCAGCTGCCCTCCAAGCAGCACTGTGATTAGGGGGGAAAAAGCATATTTTAATTTGTTCAGTACAAGAGCACCATGTCCCAAGGCAGGACTGGACATTGATTTTAGCACTTTCTCTCTCTCTCTCTCTCTCTCTCTCTCTCTCTCTCTCTCTC